AGAAGAGAACTTGGTCCATCTTTTTTCTAAATAATCTCTGGCAGATGCTTATTGAATCTTTCTGGAAATCCTCCAGATCAAAAATTGTTTAACATCTAATCACTTGGCTGCACAGGAATGCCATGAATTCATCAATAATCTCTATAATATTTTTTTTCTTCACTGTATCTACAGCAGATAATCAAGGAATATCACTGTAACTACACCAGATAATCAAGTCTATCGATTTGAATTCCTACCTTTCATTTTAATGATGTTATTAAGGATAGTGGGTGGTTATTAATCTAAAAAAAATTATCTAAATTGTATGTTGTATCAACATTAGTTAGCACTTTGATTATTGACTTTTGTCCCCTTTCCCTTCAATCTTGTCCAATTCTTGGACGCTGCTTTGACAAATCCCTGCATTTTCTTGGCAAGATTTCAGAAGTGGTTTTCCCTCGTCTCCTTCCTAGGGTTGAGAGAAAGTGACTGGTTCAAGGATACCTGGATGGCTTTGTGCCTAAAACAGGACTAGAAGTCATGATCTCCTGGTTTCTAGCTTGTTGCCTAACTTCTACATTAAACTGAAGTGTTATCTGTGCATAAAGGCAGACCGGTAGTATATTAGCTTGCATAAGAAATGTATATGCTGTATAAAACAATGAATTGCTGAAAGTGCCAAACCTCAGTATAACTAGCAAGAAGGGAGTCTCTGAGATTCCAAAGGTGTGTCCCAAATGTCTTATCTTTTATATTTTCTCATTATCCTTTTTTGTCACTTTGGACAAGAAGTAGCTGCTGGATTTTTAAAAAGGCCAGAATGCTGTAGTGAACAGACTGTCTATCTTAGGCTCTTTCCCTAGTGGTATTTTGAGTGATATCACAAAGATTTGACAACCCCAAAGTTCCTCCCCCCCCCGAGATTGTAATGCTGATACCAGCTCATGATTTCTGCAGAATAAAGCATCACCTTGTGTACTGGAATAAAGCTAGTTTTCCTCTTAATCTGACAGTCATAGCATAGTTTAAAAGTATATAATAAATACTTTATTATTTATGTATACTTTCAGGAGGAGAAGGAGGAGGAGAATGTATCTGTGTAACTTCTTATTTGTGCAGTTCTAAATGGCATTATTGAAAATTCTGCAGGTCTGAGCTTCTTCCCTGCAGCAACATAAAACAATGAGAGATGGCAAATTTGATTTTTGTTGATTGTTTGCCAGTATGGGTAGTTCACAACTTGCAACGATTCATTTCGTCACCATTTGAAGTTACAGCAGCACTGAAAAAGTGACTTACGACCATTTTGACACTTGTGATTGTTGCAACATCCTCATGATCAAAATTTGAGTGCTTGGCAACTGGCATGTATTTATGGCAGTTGCATTGTCTTGGGTCATGTGGTTACCATTTGTAACTTTCCCAGCCAGCTTCCGACACATAAAGTCAATGGAGGAAGCCAGATTTGCTTAACAACCACATGATTCACTTAACAATTGCAATAATTGCTTAACAACCATGAGAAAAAAGTTTGTAAAATGAGGCACAACTCACCTAACATCTGCCTTGCTTAATAACAGAAATGTTGGGCTCAGTTGTAGTTGTAAGTCAACGGCAACCAGTATTTCTGGATCTATCACTTCCCATTATTTTCTCCAATGAAGCGGCAAGGTTATTAATTCAGCTTTAAGAGCCCAGCTGGCTATACAACCATGGCAGAGTCTGTCCCCCTCCCCCTCTGTGGCTATTTCTGACCTGGTTTCTGTGTACAATCTGTTGGACATTGCTCAGTAATTTGAACAAGTGCCAAACACATGTTTATGCTCAGGAGTTCCCATCCTAATTTTCTTTGTTTCATGTTATTTTAATGGGATGTAGGCAGAGGGGGGCAACAAATCAATCTAGAGAAGTAAAAACCTGAAATTACAGAACTGTGCAATAATATTACATCCAATTTATTCCTCAATACTGATATGCCAAAGCAAGACAGCAGCAAAGCCAAGTGAGAAGAACAATTAACATTTCTGTAAGGAGTGACACATTCAAATCAATACATTACAGTTTGGCAGAGAGTCACAACAGAGGCAGAATATAAATTCATGGATAATCAATACTATGGAGGCATTTATGATGGAGAGATGAGTTGTGTTTTAATTCAATATATGGAATGGGCTTAGATTAGGACTTTCATGTTCATAACTATGCACATGACTTCTCAACTAAATCAGAGGTGAGACTGATGCTATAGTGCCAGACACTTTGAATTTTATATATTGATATGTTTTGAATGAAAGAGCAGACTAGGATAAAAGAAAGCAGGTTCAAATTCTCTCTTAAACAAACTTAACTCACTGTATTATTGTGCAAATTAAATGAAAACGCCTGCTACTCTGATCTCCATGAAGGAAAAATCGGATAAAAGGCTTGTTTGACTTCCATCTGCTACTTAATAATCTTAGCTCATTCTGTTGCTAGCCAACAAAAAGACCTTTCTTTTTTTATTTTAACTCTTGAATTAACATTAAGAGTCATTGTTGTTACAGAAGGTTTCAAATCTAATCTAAAATTTCATTGTTGGTTGAACATTTGTTTTCCAGTTGTTCATTATCAAGCAAGGTCATAATAATGATCCATAAATCTTTTTTAATGAATGATAGGAATGCTTCACTAATGCTTTCCCAAAAGTATAATATCTTAGCTAACACATATTGCAACACCTGAAAAGTATGCCAACATGAAATGGTATTTTTTTTGCAACATCTTTCCATAGAAGCATCAGTATTTTATTAAATTAACTAGCTCACTTATAACAACTAATGCCAGAATAGCAGATTCTCCACTTTTGCTATATATCACAGTTGTTCAACATAAACTTTCAACCAAGAAATCAGCAAAAAAAAAAAAAAACAAGGCCAGCAAGCCTACTTAGGTATTAATCTTTTCCAAAGTGGTGCCCTCCAAATGTTGACTGGGAATGTTGGGAATTCCCAGAGGGCCCTAGGTTTGGGGATATGTATAGTAGCCATTTCTAAGCTAAATGTTCTGGGCATTTGCCAATTGCATAGCAGAAATACACCCAATGTAGCTTCTCTATTATTGTATAGCCATGGAGGAGAAAATGAATTTCTATGTGTTATACGTTTAAGATATAGAAACCCAAGTCAAAAAGGCATTGCACAATGCTACTTAGTTGAGTAAGTAACAACCAAGAGTTTATATAGCATCTTTATAGAGCTAGTCAGCTCTAAATAATTAATCAAACAATAAACTTGCTAGCAAATTATCACAATTCAAAAGGAAGGATCAATAATAGTGAATGATGACATCCAATATCAGATGAATGAAAAATTTAACATTATGTTTTCAATGAATAAAATAAAGAAGGTGAATGAAGATAAACAAATTTGTAATCATTATTAGACTAAAATCTTACAAAAGTTCATATGTATTAGGAAATATGTAGACCTCAATTCTACATATGTATTCTGTAGGATAAATGTAATTTCTCCTTGATATAGAACTACAGAATTGATAGAAATCAGTCGGATTGCACCATTAAATCAGATTGGAAATGGATAGTGCCATTTTAAGTGTGTCCATCTCAGAAGTCATTCCCTCTGAATTCATTTATCCAAGTCAATGTGAGGTGGGGTATAAGTATCTATGCTTATTATTTATTCTAGAGTATTTTAATGCCAACCACTCTATGTTCCCTTAAAATGACAGGTATACAATTAAAACAGATGGTAAGGCAAGAAGAGATACTTAAATTTAACAAGTATAGTTTGATTATTACAAAGTCATTGTGAGCAAAAAGTGGGATTGTAATCTCAAACCAAAAACTAAAACAGAGTGTAACTTGTAACTCTTTCAGAGGCCTGTATATTTTTCAGCCACTAGGACATTTTATGCATGTCCTTATCATTATTTTTTCTACCAAATGATAAGGAAAGGTTTAGAAGCCCTTTGTGACCTCCCATTGATCCTTCTGCTATATTTATTCATTTATTTATTTTGTCATCCCTGAATAATGTTGCCAACAGCTGAAAAAAGACAAAGCTATTTTAAAGGAACTTAATGTCTATAATCCCCCTTTGCTGGTGAAGAGGATGGCTTGCACTTTCAACACACTCAAAAGGCATCTGAAGTACTGGTTCTATTGTATCCAGTAAACCAAAGAAAGACATGGAGCCCAAGAGTCTGGAACAAATGGTGGTCCGACCAGCCCAGATGTTTGTGGCTTATGGTTAGTATCTAGAGATCAGATGGATATATAGCAAGAAGGATTGGTGGGGGGGGGGGAGATGTACAGTACATGCAAATATACTCAGAGCTTTGGCCGTTAGGTCTGCCAGCACATAGTATGTAGATATGTTAGGAAAGTGTCCTCCAGAGACCTTGAACCTAAACTGCCTGGGGGGATTAGCGCCCCCGAATTTATAAATGACTCAAGTGCACCAACTTGAAACAAACCATCCCCGTTTTAATCTTTCTTACTGCGCGGCGATTTAATCCCGGATTCGCGGCCTGCGGACAAAGGAGTTCTTGGTGAGCAGGTTGAGGAAAAGAACCAGAACAGCCTCCGCCTGCCACTCCGGAGGAGAATGGCGTTCAGCTGGGCGCCAGGCGACAGAGCAGGGCACGGCGCTCAGGGCGGACCTACACGGCTGACCGGCTAGTGCAGGGTTAGGCAACCTTGGCTCTTTTAGGACTCGTGGACTTCAACTCCCAGAATTCCTGAGCCAGCCAAGCTGGCTCAGGAATTCTGGGAGTTGAAGTCCACAAGTCCTAAAAGAGCCAAGGTTGCCTACCCCTGGGCTAGTGCGACTGCATTTCCACCCCATCCACCGCACGACGAAATCTAAGAACCATCCCTTCAGCCCTCCGCCGAAAAGAACCACAAGCCAATTCGGCCAACCTTGGGTCCGATCCCCTCCGACTCCCTGCCTTCGTCCGCCAGCACCTGCCTCAGGGACACCGGCAGCCGGCCCTCCCGCTGGCATCCTCCGCTGACTTACCTGAGATGCCTCCTCCGATCACGACCACGTCGCACTTCTGGTGGTCGCTGCTCATGATGGCTGCTCCCCGGGTCCAACTGTTAGCGGGTTATTCCTGCAGCCGCAGAGGCTCCTCGCCGACTGCCAGCCGGGCACAGTGACAGGGGCAGCCGTTCCGTCGAGCAACACCCCCTTTTGGCTAGCTCAGCTGGGGACTCCGCCCGCTGCTGGCAAAGGGCGGCCAAGTCTGTGGCTCAGCCAGGGAGCCTCACCTGACCGGACGCCCCGGAGTTCCTCATATCCCTGCCGCCGGTGTAGTTCCCCGGCGGCGGGGATATGGCCGCTGCTTAAGGTAGGAATCGCCAGGCAGGGAATCAATAAATGAAGCGGACGGGAGAAGCCGACAACGTGAAGGCTTCACCTGTTGAATGTTTGCATGCCTTGGTGCTGTAACAAGTTTTTCTTAAAATATCCCCTGAGGGAATAATGGGTCTGATGCCACTGGACTGATTCTTGCCAACAGTACAGCGTAGACATTCAGCCTCTTACATGCTTCTGTTATACTCATAGACACACACACACACACACACACACACACACACACACACACCCCACAGTGATCCATGCAAAACGTCTCTGCATAGCTTTCTTTCACAATAAGCCTGTCAGTCCAATTATTTTCTGCTGTCATTCTATTTTACCCCGTTGACCATTGCACACGTGTGCATCTACTGAAATCCAATGGGCATTCAGCTTCATTTCGGTGCATTCATACTGAATGTAAGCATTTTTTACAGTACAATGAGTACTCCACTTGGCTTGACTTTCATGGAAGCATTTGATTGATATATGGGATGTTAATGTATAATCTTTAAAAACTGCTTTTCCAATATATAGTTTGGACTATATAGTTTTCAGTGTTTTAATGTAGTAAGCATTGGTTTTAAATCCTAATATATAATTGCAAGATAATAATGGAAACAATCACTTAATTTCCCAAATTAATTTAAACCTGTACAACCACAATCCAAATCACCTATTGAACCACCAAAAGTTACTCTTTGGTTTTCTGATTTACACTTGTTTTTGTTGTTACTATTATTGGTTCATTGCATAGACAGCCAGATGTTTAGACTGGATTTGACATTTTTATCCACCTATCTAGTCCTTCCCAAGGACTTGGAGTAGTCAGCTGTTGATGTTTGATGGTGTTACAGATATCATCTTAGGATGCAAGCTGTTCCATGTTAAGCTGCCTTTTACAATTGACTGATGGTGAATTTGTTAATGCGGATGGTATTGGTGCTTCAGTTGCTTTGGAACTGCACCCAAGGCACATATTACTATTGATATTACTTTTGCTTACTTTTGCCACAGTTGTTCTATTTCTAATTGCAGGTCTTCTGTTCCCTATCAGTGGAATGTGGCAAGAGACCATTTTCAAAACTAAGGAGCTGAATACAACCATTTTATTTTTTCCTAAAGGCAGGTTATAACTGATACTGAAAGTACCAACACCGACGATTGCATTCTTGAGACTGATCTTCACCCGCAGATCATGGACTAAGACATCTGGGCTAATTTCTTGCTTCCTTCCCATTTCTGGATTTTTGCATCTTTCTCAATTAATAATTCTGATGAACTTGCATGCTCATTTGTGACCATTTGGATAGCCCACGTCATCATTTTGGATTTTGGAAGATGCAATGCCCTATGCATATTTACTTCCAGGTTTAAAAAAATAGAGCCTAGTTATGCACCAGTTAGAATGTTCAAATTAAAAGACTTCTGGAAAAATTTTAAACTTGATGGGAAGAACAGTGTGATAATAATAAACAGATTGCTAGTATTCTAAATTATCTAATTCAGGTATAATTTTAATTTTGCAAAACTCTGATATTGGTTTGGAGACAGCTGGGTAATTATGGTATACAGGTGGTATACAGTTAAAGGAAAGAAAGATTAATCAGCAGCAGGAAGATTATACCCCCAAATTCTTATAACAACGCTTCCATCATCATTGGATGCCAACACCCAGTAAAATATTCAGGTCTTCAATAGTTTCCTGAATATTATCAGGGTGGGAACTGTCAAAGTCTCTGAAAGTATATTGTTCCATGAAGCAGGTACCAGGACAAGGAAGGCGTTTTTCCTGGATCGTACTAGTTTTATTGATGGAACCCAAAGCATGCCCACTCTGCCCAATCTCACCAGTTCGACAGAAACAGCTAGAGATGGATGGTCCTCAGTAACCCGGCTCTATGGCATGAGGGGCTTTATAGGTGATCTTCAATTACATTCAGAAGCTTGTGATAACTGGTGAAGCTTGCAGAGTGTTGATATGGTTATAATGAGGCATGTCTATCATTGTCCAAACTGCCACATTCTTGTATACCTGTAGCTTCCTAGTGATCTTCAAGGGCAGCTCTATGATAAGTTAGACCTTGTTTTCTCACGAGGTCGTTCTTGAGATGTTAATCTATGACAATTCAGGCATAGATAACTTGATAAAACAATAACTTTGTTTTATAGTTAGCCCTTTACAGTTACTATTAATTACTGCAAAACAAGGTGAAACTGTATGAATTAGGAAATCAACCATCATGATCCATCTTCCATTGATGCCTGTAAGATCTGAGAATTATTCTTCACATCAATTTTACCTAGATTCAGTTTAGACCACTATATTTGTTTTAAGATAGTGGCAGTAGTTTCTGAGTGTTTAATGAGTATTAGTATGTGCACAAGTAAAGTGTTAGATGATACCCAAACTTGACTCTCTTGTCACTTCACTAAATAACTTTAATGAGAACACCAGTAGTCATATTTCATTCTCCCAGTAGTCATATTTCATTAATGGAAGGGGGGAGGGGAGGAAGAAGAACAGAACTGCAAAACCAATCCAAACGGGGCCAAAAAGCTCAATCAGAATACATTTTCTCAGTTTCTCTCAAAACAGTTGTCTGACACTTCCAGGACTGTTTCAGTTTTACATGTCATTTAGAGCCTGATAAATAATAGAAGATGGATGGCGCTCCCAGTGGAGGTATAGCAAACTTAAGATGGCTTTAACAGAATAACAGAATTGGAAGGGGCCTTGTAGGTTTTCTAGTCCAACCCTCTGCTCAAGCAGGTGACCCTATACTATTTCAGACTAATGGTTGTCCAATCTCTTCTTGAAAACCTCCAGTGGTGGAGCACCCACAACTTCTGGAGGCAACTTGTTCCACTGATGAATAGTTCTGTCAGGAAATTTTCAGGAAAGTTCTACAGTAGGTTGCTTCTCTCCTTGATTAGTTTCCATCCTTTGCATTTTCTCCTGCCTTCAGGTGCTTTGGAAAATAGGTTGACTACCCTCTTTTTTGTAGCAGCCCTTCAGACATTGGAACAGTGCTATCATGTCATCCCTACTCATTGTGAAAGTAGAGCCAACAGATGTGACAAAAAAAAAAACACCCAAGGAATGGTGAGTAAACTGGCTCTTTGGAACCTCTACAGATAAAGAGATCACCCACATGTGTTCCAGATGGCTGCTTTCTGCAAGAAGACCTCAAGACAGTGTGGTTTTTTTTGTGTGTGTGAGAGAGTTTGAGTGACACTCAGTGCAATCATGGAAAAGATTTTATTTTTAAGATACACTAAGTTTGAAAACCTCACTTTCTAATCATTTTTGGAAATTGCTGATTAACTACTTCATTAGTGACTTCATCAAAGGATAAAATGATAAAATCGTATCTAATCAATTGCATCAAAGGCATGATTTTGTCCTCAGCAATGTACAAACAGTCTAAAATGTATCACATGCGCATGGTTTAATTTATATTTGTATTCCACGAGAAGCAGATAGTTTTCTTTCCAGGGGACCAAGCTTGAAACAAATCTTTTTTCCACCTTTATGGAAAAATTGAGTTGATTTATCATGGCAAGAGAAGAGTGCAGCACATTCTGATATTCTTGCATATCTTCCAAAGCATTTGGGAATCCAAATGGGCTCCCAAAGAAATCCATTTAACTTCTTCAAGCTAAGTTTGCAGAAAGAAGGCTCCCAATTTTGTATTATGTTCTCTAGATGGTGACCTGGTCATAATGACCATGGCCCTATTTTAGTGTTACTACAAACACATCGATGAAATATAAATCTACAGAGACATGGATGGATAATACATATATATTTAGTTGATGAAATAGAAACAACATTCTCTCTCCCACCCCACCCCCCTCTTCAAATAAGTCTGCTGAAAGCAGATTGCTTTCATCTCTCAAGCATTTTCAGATCTGCCTTAATATAAGGAATAGGCAAGCCACAGACCTTACTTTGTTATCAGCTGCCCTGGTGCTTAGCAACTATCTATTCCACTCCAAAGCATCCATTCATAGAGTTGCTTCTTGCATTATCTTTTAAAGATACAAATACTCTTTTGCCAAAACAAGTAGTCATGTCTGCAGTATGGCAGAAGAAGGAGTCCTATGAATTTGAATAAAATTGTGATCAGGAGTGTTCAAGCAAGATAGTGGAGACAGGTATTCTATATAAAACCTGACCTGTAATTCTCTTTATATCCTTGAGATATAACCAAATATTTATATTGACTGAAGCAATATAAGCAATAGTAACATGCTTGCCCAAGTCACTATAGAACAAGGCAAAGATTGCAAAAAAATAAAAATACCAGAGCTAGCCAGGAGATACAGTCCCTATGATTATTGGGTCTCTCCTCCTTCCACTTTCTTTCTCCTGAAACAAGAGGAAAACCTGAATTGGTCAGCAGGCCACGTCCAATATGGGTAGTTGAGTCAAAGTGGTTGAGTCGAATTAAAATCCATTGCTACTAACTGGCAAGATTACCTGGTTATATGACCCAGGCATATCACATCATGCATAGTCACAATACAGTACACTGATCTCCAGTATTTTATTTTATTTTATTGCATTCGATCATTCAGCAAGGTAAGTGGAAAGCATCCAATAACAACATAGCAAGCATTATTTATTTTTATGTTTCCCCCCTAAATATATTATTGTTTTTTGAAGTCAGTAGACCCCTCAGGATGCATAGAATACAGTATAGGGCTAGGCTACCATTTTAATGTCAAAATCTTTTGACAATAAACTTGAAATCAAAACACAGAAAATAAAACAATGCACAATCTAGAATTCATTATTTTTCCTTTCAAATTATCCAACCCAACGTTACCCAACCCAACAGTAATCAATGACATTTAAAGGAAGATCAATGTAACAGTACACATGATTTTACATCTTCAGTGGCTGATAATGAAAAGCCTGTATTTCTTGTCCTTTCTCCCATAATATCT